ATAAAATGTGAATTATATTCAGCAGCACTCCCTCTTCTGGCCAAGAAAGGTTGCTGCAGGTGGATTAAACGTGTTTGTAGATCACTTTCCCTTTTCTCACATTGTTGCTCAAGGGCGCATCGGCAGGCAGGGGAAGATACACTGCTTGTGTACAGTACTGCAAAGTAACTAAGTACTGTGCAGTACAACTTAACCCGAGTATTCCCATGTTGTGCTACTTTGTACTTCAATTGCACTACATTCATCAGACAGCTGATGTTTGACAGTTTGAAAAGGTACATTCCGTATTACGAGTACTTTAAGTATATTTCGCTCATAATACTTCTGTTTCCTTTATTTTTGAATGCAGTATTCTTACATTGTGTTATTGCTACTTTTACTCTGAAGTAAAGGATCTGAATACTTATTCCCACATTGCTAATGTGTAAACTTGATATATCAGATTGAAGGACGCTGAAATTCACAAAGTCATTCGATCTGAACAAAAGATACACTGAAAATCAGGAGACGTGGACACCGCATTGCTATAAAGTAAATCTTTAATTTGGTTTATAGTTTCTGACGTCGGTTCACTGGTCATTACAGGAATGGAATGCTGAAAGCTGAAGAGTAATCAACAGGAAAGTGCACACTTGTTATCTTTCGGATTTGTACATATATAGTAAATTTCTAATACATTTTCTTTATTTTATATTTATATATATATATATATATATTCCCATTTATGTGTATACAAAATTAAATAAACCTCTTAATTATTGCAAAAACATAAATTCAAACGCATGAAGATGAAGAAAAAGAATAAAAAGGGAAATACAATCCACTTTATCAAGTTGACATTCACGAGGATTTAAAGCCCCGCCTCTCTGCCTGAGGACTAAATGCCCCGAATACATCCCTGTTTGTAAGGCCCATCATGAAGTACATTCCTTTCCCCTGTGATGTGTCACCTGATAACCAATGCACAACCTGTAGCCTACATTAAAGCCACTTATTGCTCTCTTCAACATCGGTGTTTTTGAGATAAAAAGGTACAGCTCCGGTAAAGTGCTCGTGTGGTGTAAGATGGTGGAGAGCGATGAGGTAAACGAGGGAGGACAACAGTCTCTGGGTGCTGGAGTAATGACACCGCGGGGGTCATTGGGTCGATGACGCGCGTGTGCGTCATACTGTGATTGCTCTCTCTATAATTGGAGAGCGTCATCCGCAGTCTAACCGTTAGCCGGTCAAATCTTACAGTACTTAAAGGAACAGGCCGTGTTTTAAATGTTTCAGTACACATATCATGTGGTAACCAAATTAATGTTTTGTAAAGCATGGAAGATTTTGTATCTGTGTTTTCCATATTTTTCTGGCAACCATTAATCTCCATTCATACTAAAACATTTCAACTTTGGAAGACATAAACATAGAGCACATTAGAAGTCTCAGACTGTTGAGGTTCATATTATCTTTGGCTAAACTTATGAAATGCCTTTTCACACAGAGTGATGATCTCTTTACGGCTGCTATGGACAGGAAGAACTGTTTCAATGGTGTAACATAGATCTGAAGTTGATTTGAATTAATGTGAAATGTAACAGGCCTAAAAGTCGACCTGAAGCCAGTTTAAAGTCTCTAGAAGGTTTGTTATTCTCTGGAGAATGAATGGAAACTAATGGCGGCCTGAATAGCAGGGAAAAACAAACTCAAATCTAAAAGCTTGGTCCGCATGCGGAGCTGATTGAAGTTGTTGCCTTCACTTCACTCTTCCCAGTGGAGAGTTTGGGTTTAAATCGTATAAGTCATACCGGTTAGAGTTTATAGATCCAGACACTTTCTGCTTGACCCTGAACTCCACACTCTAAAGTTTGGGTGACAAATGGAGTGCAGTGAAAAACAAACATGAGATGCAAAAAAAAATCCCAATGAAGTTCTAAACTTCTGTAAAGCACATGGAGTGATGTAATGCACATGATTCCAGATAAAGCACTTGACAGTAACATAAAGGGACTTGCAGTCACAGAAATCTCTGTAAAGCCCCAAAAAACGCAGTTACAGAAAATAAAGCACATGAATAAAGCAAACGTGAAAATAAAAGCTGAAGCGAATGCTGGTGAGGTAACAGTGTTGTTGTAGTTCAGTCCAACACATTCAATGAAAACATCGGCCATGACTTAAAGCAACTCAGCGAAAAACACCCAGTGTGGAAATCAGGAACAGCGAGCATTCGTTTGAAGATACAAGCGATTTAAATCTAAAGACTTTCATTTGTTTTATGCGTCGAGCGAGACAAAGGTAAACATGACGTGTACAATTAAATAGGTTCTTCTGTAGGCTGTATGGCTTAAAATTAAGGTTTCCTGCAACAAACATTTCCCCCACCGTGGGAGAATGTTTGCCCAAAAAGTATGCAATTGGTTTGAAACGGAAAAGTATGAAAATAGTCGGGGGGGGGTTCTTCTTAAGAATTTAGAAGTGTCTGGGATAATGTGACGCAATCAGGGGTTTTATTTCTCTTCTTTTGATGTTCGTCTAAATCAGAGGTTTTTGGTTTCTTATATTTGATCACATCCCCCCCAAGCTAAAATACAACATGGATATTCTCTCTGAGAGACAATCTGCTCTGCATTCACGCGTTCACAAGCGGGAGTATGTTTAGAAATTCATTCCTTTCCGCAACCTTCCTGAAACCCACTTATCAGTCTCTGCAGAGCAGTTAAGCGTTAAATGAGCAACAAAACCGCCTTTAAATGGAATCAAAGAGCATCTGGGAAGATGATTTAGAAATATTCCCAACAGCAGCGCATTAAGAGCACATTCAGAAGAGAGCAAGACTTCTCAGGCCTCTTGTTGCTGCAGAAGTATAAATAAATGCATGACTTCAACGCTGCGTGTAAATACCATTGTCCTCTAAGCAGCAATACAAGGAGGATTTGAAGACGGGGCAGGGAGGGCCGCATGTCATTTCGCTCGTCACTTCAGGGTTTTAAACAAGCCTTCTCTCTTCGACCCCGTCCCTGTTGACATTTACAGCACACTTCTCAACTGCGACACTCCGTCACGCGCTGACATTTCCGACAGTAAATTGAATTCGGTCCAGACGGGGAAATGAGATGCTTTAAGGTTCGACCCTCCCATCGCTCAGCCACAATTACCCTTTCACAAATTGGGAAGCAGGAAAAGTACAAGGGGCGAAGAAAAGGGACCGAACGCGCTGGACAGCGGTGCACGTACGCTCGCATTTGCACGTTTATATACACTCAAGATTTACAAAACATCCTCTTATCCTCGCTGCAGCAAGCGTAGCAAGCCATTCACAGACGCGTGAGAGGAGAGGAGTTAAAGGAAATGAGCAAGGCTGTCAGGTGGTTGTGCTCGTTCCCCTCAGCTGTAAATGTGAGCCTTCTGGATGTAAGAGGATCAGGGAGCATTCAACGGCCACTAACAGCCAGAAAACTGGAGCAGTGGCTCAGTCAGCCTGCTGCAGAGAAGGAAGGGCTTCAGTGCTGGAGGTTGTTTTCCAGAGTGCAAGTTATGATAGACTCGGGTGGAAGAATACTTGTGGGTTTACAATCTAATTGTTGTTTGCTGTGGCCCACGAGATGTTCAAATGGATCAGCAAAGCATCCCGTCAACCCCCTGAATGATTTGTCCAATTCCATTTGACTGAGCGGCTGTGTAAGAAACGACGCGCAATGTATTTCACACACTGTAGAACCGGATACAGTACAGTAGAGAAAGTAGCCTACGTTAACGACCACGCACGACGCTGGTTTTCGTGCGTGCAGATAACTGTTTTTTTGTGACCGTGTACTTTAATGCCCGTGTTTGATATTAGCGTTGACTTTCGCAGTGGGTCGCCTCAATGGGTTGCATGTTTACAAGATGACATGACTCGAGTTTTAAAGGGTATTCATAAATATAGGATATTATAATCAATTTACATATTTTACACATCTATACTGCATAGAATTACATTTTCTTTTTCATGAGATGCCTACAGTCTTTGGCCGTGGCTACACGCGTCTGTTCAATGCAACTCCTGTGTTCGGATGCGCCAGACCGGAACTCATGCGTTATATTATTTGTTTTGTGGTCAAAGGAGCAGCTGTAAAACGGTGGATAAACATATTGAATTTCCTATAAAGTCCCGTTATTTTGTCATCTAAAAAGCTTTTGTTGTGAACCAGTAAAATGAGGACGTGTTGGGTTTTCATCAGCGGTAACTGAACAGGTCTCAGGCAGCGGGTCTTCCCTTTGCCCTTTGGTCTTCCCTTTGGGGAGGAAGATGACGGAGATCGGATGACGATAGTCGCATTGAAAAGACAAGTGTAACCACGGCCGTGAATCTTTTCAGACGTGAGGATGGATTGTACCAACTAACCTTAACTCGCCGTGTAATAAGCTGAACAGTGATGTAGAGCACAAAGGCTTCTAGTAGTGGCCAGTGACAACACTGAAGAATGCAAATTGGCATGTAAGAGAGAGAGAGAGAGAGAGAGAGAGCAACTTTGTCCTGATATAATAAGATCAGCTCATGTGCTGTGAAAGTTAAAAACATGGTGTGAAGGTGACGGTTGGATGGGCACTTATTCATTACATCAAGAGAGACAACTACTGATAGTTTTAAGGGGTGGTCTAAAATTGAGGTAAAACAGAAAACATCTACAGTGAAGCGTGACACGACAACATGTGATTAACTTCATAAGACTTGGATGGGTAATCAAGCATGATCACTGACATCAGAACATCTGTGCTACATCACTGCTGGTCGCAGCTTCCCAAACGCTCGGCTTCACTCCACGTTCGTAGGTCCGAACAGCTTCATACAACAGTGGGGGTGGGGGGGGTTCTCAGAGTCCGCATAAATCCCTCCGCAGCAACAGCACCCGAAGGTCTGCAAGCACGACTACGAACACTGGATCAAACTCAAAACAGATGTTAGTACCCCTGAACGTAAAATAAAAGACAAAGATATAAATGCACCAAGTGAAAATGTGTGACGTAAATTAAGGCCAAATATTATAACACTAAATGTTTGAATATCCAGCGAACAGTGTCAGTGAGATATTGGATTAAAACAAGCACCGTAAACACAAGTACCATGTTCGAAAGAGAAACAAGATTGCTTTGTTGATTAAATTTAGGACTAGAGGCCCAGCATGTCTCAAAGGTAGCTTTAAAGACAGTCATTAAAAGAGGAAAACAGTCTGACAAGTAACAATGATATTGTCTGACACTAAAACAGTCCAGACCTTTGGTAATGCATAGTTCTTTCCTGAATGTCTGAATGACTATCAACCACAAAACTCCACCATCTCTCAGATTGCAGCTGTTCCGATCCCGTCTAAAAGAATACAGAGCGATGATGATTAAAAACGAATGGCTCTTATATTTCTGCTCAGACGATCTCCGTTTGTGGTTACAGCAATAGCAGTTTTGGCTTGTTTGGTGTCTGAACCAAAGAGATAACTTAGGGCGGAGCAGTGAGGCAGCGCTATCTCTACTGAGTGAGGGCGGCCACGCAGCCCGACCCCTCCCTATCCGGTCTGCTGTGTCAAGGCAGGAAGGGTTCGTCCTCCTCCTCGTCGTCTGCGCTGGGGCCGGGGTCGCTCAGGCACCTCGTCCGCTTCTGCTGATCTCGGCCTCCGTCCGCCTCGCCCGGCTTGTTGGCTCCACTCGGCTTCATCATCAGGCCCTGGTCCTCCTCCTCCTGCTGCTGCTTCTTCTTCTTCTGCTGCTGCTGCTTGCTGAACTCATCCATCAGGTTGACGGAGTCCGGAGACTGTGGAGAGGCCAGGTCTACCTGGATGGTCGGCACGCCGCCCGACTCCGGCTTCATGCTGTAGGCTTGTGGGTCTGCAATATCAGGGAATTAGCTTTACCGAGGCTTTAAAAAAAAAGGGATTGAATTTCATTCCTTCATTCCATCAGCGTGCATAAACGTACGATGTACAAGGGGAGGAGAATTAAGGTCAACAAATATTAAGGTCAATGAAGCTACAATCACGGCACAAACTCGAGGCTGCAAGACCTTTTTCAGATATTTCACGACACGACAAAAACAACGAGTCACAATGATTTATGATGCAACACATGCGGGAAATAATTCCCCTTTCAGCTAAAACTTATGATGAGAAACACAAGCTGAAAATCAAACACACATCATGCTCGACTCTTAATCAGGTCTTTGTTTCTTGGCTAAAATAAATCATCGGCGTTTGGCCTCATGTCATGAGATCCCCTCGTTAGTGATGAGCGATTAATGAGCGTTAACGAGCAACACAACCGACACATGCACGTTAGGATCGCTGCCGGGTCATCACAACTCAGACAGGAATCTTCTCTACACTCACTACATACCTGGACTGCTTTTGTTTCCTTTCTGCTGCTGAGCAGGTTTGAAATCAGTGCCTCTGCCTAAAATGAAACCACACACTGGTTTACATGCCGGCTGCCACATGCAAACGTATTTCCCTCAGCGGGGAAATATCTGCGGCTGCAGGCGTGAACAGTAGCAGTGCTTTCTACAGTGTTTATTGTTTCCGTGAGAGACCTAACGGAAGATAATGTCTCATCACCGTGGGTGCCATCGGTGGCGTAGTGAATTTCCTCCGATTGTTTTTACGCGGTACAGTTTCAGTATGATGGTGTGTTTGCGCTCGGCTGTGTTTACCTGAGGCCAGTCTGGCTCTACACATGGTCGGGGAGTCAGGCGGAGCAGCGGGCACCGTCAGGTAGTTATTCATGTCTTTTATCTGGGAACACACAGGCACGGTGTTTGTTCATGGGATGATTTAAGGTTTACATGTAAACAGGAAGTACACACACACTCTGCTTCATCCAATTGTTTGTAGTGCAGCAGTTCGGTAAGTCACTATTCATTCAAATGACGTGCTGCTTGGGTAGTGTCTGTAGAAATGGTCTCGAGTCTACGGCGGCTTCGAGCACATTCAATTTACCCCAAAACAGGAGTCCATTCTCATTATGTAATTACAGGCTGGTGAAACAGGAAGTTAGTGGTCGGGCCACTCAACCGTGCCAATAAATCACACATGAATTTATGTCGAGAAAATGTTTTCAGGAGACTGAAGGTGGACTTTAATTCGAACACAAATCATAAATTTGGCAAATCATTTAACTGCTGGTGGCCCGGTATGAAATGAGAAAAGCTGTTCATCTGTTGCTTGTATTTTTTGGAGTCTTCTGTGTTTTCTGCTTTTTGTTTCGTGCTTTATAACGTCAACTTTGTTATACACCAGATTACGTAACAGACACACTGCTACGGTATCACAAAATGTCTTCTTCAGCGTTGGCTTATCAACAGAATGTGAAAGGTGACGAGGTGTCAGTAAAATGTGATAATGCAGACAGCTGGCTCAGACTGATTCTTGATTTAAGAGGAGTTGCCCTGGCGCAGACTGATAATCGTACCTTCTTCTCCAGCTCAATCATCTTTTGCGTCTTGATAACGAATTCACCGAAGCCATCCTCGTACGGATCCGCCACCAGAGTATGTCTGTTGTAGGAGCGCAGCTGAGAGAGACAAGACACATAAAACAACTCGGTTTAAGAGGACAAACACAAGTTGAAGTACATGAAAGAGGGAAGGTTTTCTTCATCTCTAAGACCTGCAGACCTTTACTCAGATCATGATGACCACAAGGGAAAAATCAATGACAAGTGCATTTATGTATTCCAAAAAAAATCAAAGTCAGTATTATGATCAATGTATGAGCGGAGCTACTGATTGAATTCTAACTCTGTCACAATCAATACCCTACACTGTAGTCTAATACCGCTTTGTTTATCAGTGCAAATCAATATGAAAAGTGATGTGCTCTGAACTCCCGGTAATACAATCAACGCATCTTTAGCGGATCTCGTCGTTGACGCGGCGGTGTTACCCGCTGCCGTGTCCTCTGCAGGTTACTCCTCAGGATCTTCCTGATCTCCTCCTCTCGGCCTTTAGGCAGCTGGGACAGAGCTTTCTCTGCGGGCTTGGCAGGAGGAGGCTTCTTGGGCTGGATGTTCCTGAGAAATATGCAGAAAAAGAGTCAGGGCTATCATAGTCTGTGTGACAGACGCGTTGTCTGTCATGAGCGCTTGTGTCGGGACACATGACAAACTGTCGTGATGATAATTTCGTTATTTCCTCCTGGTATGCGATGACTACTTGGTACTGCAGATGTGAAATGAATGAGACCTGTGCAGGTGCTCACATTAGGTTTTGTGATGATAACCGAAGACTCCTCGCCCACTTGGGGCATTACAACACGACAGAGCAGGTGATGATGACAGTGCTGCTTGTGTAATACTGGCTACAAAACAACGAACACGTCAGTGCTCGTCAGAGAACCAGCAACCTTCCAATCATCAGGCAGCCTCTCCACCCTGAAACCCACCATGACGTCTCTGGAGGAAATCAGTAATGTTGTGCACTCTTCCTTAAAAATACTGTTTCTAACTATGAAAAAAGAATAAAAACTCATGAAGTCAAGCTGATGAACATAGTAGAGCATTTAGCAGCTAAAGAGCTAAAGAGCTTAAGGAGTTGGTTGAGACCAAACAGAGCTAAAAGAGAGGGATTATTGGTGTTATATGTCCATGTTTGGACACAAACATGGCTGCTGCATGTGTAATTAAGGAACTATTTGCTTACAAGCTTTGCCAAATCAATTTAAAAAGGTGATGACTTTGGAATATTGTGTTCTGCTGCCCCCAAGTGGCTAAAACAATATTTCAAGTTTAAGGACTTAAATTTGGGAGTGTTTGGTTGAGTGTGGTAACTGAAGACAGAACGAGTGAATACTCCTACTTACTGCATGGAAACGGTTGAAGGTATAGAAGCTGGCAGCTTGACTCCCCCTCCGCTCTCCACCAGCTCAATGGCCTGTTTCATCTCCATCTTGTGGTAGAAGGCGATGAGCTGTGGCTCTCTGGAGCGTTCGCCGGCAATCAGGCACTTCTTCACGTACTTCTTGTTGAAGCGGTTCAGTCTGGAAGGAGGAAATGAGTTACGGATGAAAACAGAGACACGGGACAAAGACAGCCGTGGGAGTACGAAGAGGAGAGGGAGAGATGTGAGAGGTTTGACACAGGGTGCACGTTAGAGGAAAAGGACATTTTATAGCCAAAGTTACTGTGTCTTCTCTCAAGGGTTAAATCTATTAGCTGATTAGGACAGAAAAACAACCAATGACCATTTCGACGATGGATATATAAAAAAAGCAAAAGTACACCTCTCTCAGTGAAATATATATATTATTAATGATTCTCAGATGATCACAAAAGTTAAGACTGTTAAGTTCATACTTGTCCTTCCAGTGATGGTGTCCATAGTGTCCACAAATGTCCTCGATTCCAGTTAGTAGGTGGTCAAGGAACTGGGGATAAAAAGAGGCAAACAAAAAGAGGCTGAATCGGGCTTTTCAATATGACCCTCTGCCTTCTCTGTTGAGCGTTTTAATGTGTTGGAAAAGACACTTTATTCAGAGGCATGATATTTTTGTACCTTACTATCTAATAAACACGACTTTCTAGGGGTCCATGTTATATGCTGGAGTACATACATGTCATTTAGAGCAATTTAATTGGTCAAGGAAAGATACTTTGCCATTTTTTCAATGTCTTAAGTACTTGGAGAAACTATAATTTATGATCAACAGTGTTATTAACTGTGATTACATGAATACTCCACTGCAGACGTCATTCAGCTGCATCTCACACCTTTTTGCTTCACCTGCAGTTACTGCTCCTCAAAAACCAGCAGCAGCAGCCGGGTGACTGATGGGACCGTGTGTGTGTGTGTGTGTGTGTGTGTGTGTGTGTGTGTCGTGGCAGCACGCCTGCTCAGAGAACCAGAGACATGAACCGATGCATTTGTTGCTCAGAGTGCAGTCGGCCGCAGGTCGCCCCTGGTGCTCTGATGACAGGCGGCGTAGCTATGGGAACAAGTCATTAAGCAGAGCCACAGAATGTACTTCTGCTTTGTCAGAAGAGACCGATTTATGTACAGACTGCCCAGCACTGCGTGGGTGGTGGTGAAAAATAAATTTTAAAAAAGTGGCGACAGTATGAAAGGTTTCTCTAGATCCCCGAGGGTGAGAGATCACAGCGATACGTTATGATAAATCTCTTCTGGTTACACCAATACTGGGTCATAGATGTATCCTCTCTTCTAGCATCGAGCACTGGTGACTTACCGCAAAGCCCCAGAGAGAAACTGTGAGTGTGAGTGTGTGTGTGTGTGCATATCTGAGCTGTATTAATAGCTTTGAAACACTCTTGTGGAGCATGGTGGTCACTCACTCACGGGTGTGTTTGAGTACCAGAAACTGTGGATACAAGACGCTGTGTGTGTGTGTGTGTGTGTGTGTGTGTGTGTGAGAGTTATATTTAACTAGACGGTCATTTTTCTAATCTTTGGATTGAGATTCACTGCGCTGTACAAGTACACTGTACAGGTACAATATATGCGATGAAGTACCAGCACACAGCCAGTAGGTGGAAGCAGCGTTCCAGAAATGGCCTTAACAGTACAGTAACAGAACATCACTGTGACGACTTTGACAGTCGTGTAGTGTGATTTTTGTCTTCACTGGAAAAAGGACGTCACATCTTACATAAATACAACTGAAAGGAATGTATAATAGTATCACACTCATTCATTGTTGTGAGGCACCAACCTTTCAAACCGTTTCATTTAATTTATCCACTGCATACCCAAAGGGTCAGGGTTATTAATATGTATGAACCATCAAGTCCTCAGCTTCTGATCAAGAAGGCTGAAGGTGAAAGGTCTCACCTGGGTGTGGATTTCTTCATTAATCGTCCGCTTGGCCTCCTGTTTCTTCTTCACTGCCAGAAGCTCCACAAGGGGCTTGATGGTCATGCCCTGCAAGAGGGATGAGAGGAACACAGCATTATTCATTATTCACCTCCTGACCTCAACTAAAGATAGAAGCAGCCTTGTATCGACGACTCCGCGCTACGCAAGAATGAAATGAGAAGGTTCAAAACCTGGTATCTGTAATGTTTTATCATCTTTCAGTGTGTCAGGCTAATTTGAACACATAAACCTTCATACTCTGATAACTGATATTGGTCACACTTCCCAAATTTTGCAACGGATGATTAACAAACACATCAGGTCGTCGCACAACCTTTCACAAAACCCCCTCCTGTTGTTTCCTTAAGTCTCTCACCACTTTAGAGAGTGACGACATGCGGAATGTTACAGATTTCAGCTTTAAAGATCTAAATCTGCTAAATCCATGCCCTAATCGCATTATTACAGTTCAAAACAAGAGCATTTTGTGTTTCCATTGTTCCCCGGATATTCTTTGAAGTATACAAGTGGTTAAAAGTAAGGCAGAGAGATGCTTCGTGCAGGAACACATTCAGCTAAAGACAAATCCTGAACTGCTAAAATGTTGCTGTTCGTTACAGACAGAGAGTGATGCAGTTTCAATCACAGTAAAACAAAGTGCTTTCTTCATATCAGTAAGTTGTTGGCAAAAGGTTCTGACTGATTATAATCTCAGGAGAAATGTTATCATAGAGTCTGGGCCTAGTAGTTGAATCGTTTTTGCTGCCACTGTGTCAAGTGGCCATGTGAGGAACTGCAGGTTTTGGCACTTTCGCGTTGGCTTCATTTCTCAGCACTGCTGGTGGCCGCTGGGGGGGGGGGGGGAAATGTGATTGTAAACACACTCAAATGATAAGTGCAGACATCATCAACAACTACAGTAATTTAGTGTGTACACAGTGTGTGTTCGTTCCTGTGTAAAATGGTTGGAAAGCAGCAAATGGTGCGTTTCCAACCATGCATCTTATGTTGATAAGCAAACAACTCAGAGGAAAAGAGTTTGTTTTGGATCTTTTCATCTAACGTTCTGGCACCAAAACTGTTTTTTACTTTTACTTTGATTTTAGAAACCAAACCTAACTCCATTGTTGTTTTACTATAAATGGTTCATTTCTGGTCAGCTGTCAGCATGATTGAGTAAAGTACACTGCCACAACAGAATGGCTCGAGAAATTAAAAATCAAGCATCAGTCTAATGTTCGGCTACTACTTGAGGATAACCAGTAGTGTGTGTGTGTGTGTGTGTGTGTGTGTGTGTGCTCGTGCCTGTCTGCACCTAAAAGCTCCAGCGTATCATTCTGCTTCTTAAAGAGATTAAGCTGACCATCTGGTTAACTGTAGTGGCCTAAAGTGGATGACTGAAGGTCCCCGCTCTTTAACAATATCCAGTCATGCTATCAGGCATGCATGCAGAGGAACCTACACTTTTCCCAACTGGTTATACTGTAATAAAGTATTCTGCGAAGTAAAGTAATCCAACAAAAGAAAGGAAATACCATCCATCAGGATACTCAACGTTTATTATACATTACTTGTAAATTGTCATATAGATAATAATTACTCTGATAAAGATCTCCACTTCAGACCACCTAGGCTTACTCTCTTCCAAATAAAAAGACAACCCCACTCTCACAGAGTCATACTTTTAAATAACTCCACATGGCAGGTGAAAGGGGCCTCTCCCCTCACACTGCACAGAGCTGAATCCAGCAGCATGAATAAAACATGTTTCTGATCTCGCCTCTGAGGAGAGACTCCATGTCTTCAGGGTTCTATTTTAGCGGCCTCCATTCTGGATCCAAACCACAGCCAAGAACGTTCCTACAGTATCACCAGGGGACAGGTTTATCTGACAGGACAGGGCAGATGCATTCAATGTATGGAGTCACTGCCCGTTTGTCTTCATCTCGCCTTTGTGTAATGCGTTTGATTGGTATGTGTATGTGGACAGCAGGAGTGTGTGTCTACATAAACCACATGTTGTGTTCCTTCTGCATGTGTTTTAGATCTGATTCACTGATTAGCCCACCTGGCTGCCTCACGTCGTACTTTAAAGGAGAAACTGAAATCACATTTTCCCAAACCAGCTGGAGCCGTTTACTCCAAGACCAAAAAAATCAAGAACGTCTGACCGCTTGATGCAACATCGAATGGATCTTTTTTTTTCTAGGAATGCAAATCCACGAGCCTTTGAAGTTCAAACCTCATTATTACCAGTAAGATTAATGAGATTCACAGCGTCTAATTGAACGCTTGCAAATAAAACGCTTGTTCTGAGATGGATTGGTTTTGTCAGTGGACCCATCAGTGGGAATTCAAAACAGTGATGTAATCTAAAACTGAAAAGCTAGACTTACTGGGAAAATATAATACACAAAAAGGGAATTTTAGAGCACCTGAGAGGACCAACAGTAATGTTTTCACTCTAAGTTAAGCTCCACAGCATCTCTTTGCATTGTGCATTGACTGTGGTCATGATAACATCCCATTACGAGGCTAACACACGACGAAAGTCTGTTGAAAACAAACCAGGACGACCTAAACCGAGTGCTCTTGCCTGAACAAAGACCGTGAAGAAGATTTCGGTGATGATGGCAGTAAGGAACATCTCTCTCATGGGAAATAGCTCCTCCTTAAGCAGGAAGCCAAGAGAGAAGGCGATGGCGCCTCGCAGGCCACCGTAGGCCACAATGAACTGGTCCTTGGTCGTCAGCTTGACGATGCGGAACTTGTTGATCACGTAGGTCAGACCCACCACACCTGGGGAGGACAACGTAATGAGAACGCAAGGTTTGTGACTTTGTGTGCGTGTAATAGACGTTCAGTTAATACGATAACAATAAAGTATTTCCATACGATTTTTCAATGTGCTTTTCCCCATCTTTCACGCAGCCATTGTTATCATTATTACAATTATGAAAGCCAGCTTACTAAGACTTGATATACCATGATCATCGCAGTTATAATCCCATCTGCTTTTGCCCCAAATATCATGCGTGGTAATGCAACCTCTTTAAATCTTACTTTGGAAATGATTACCGCAAAAGATATGTGAACGACCTAAAACCTGCAAAAACATCGGAATGGCTCTTTAACTGACAGGAGAAGAACCACTTGAACTGTTCTCCGTCACAAGATCTGGTCTCATGTGATGCCAGTAACACGCGCAGGATTACTGATTGCAACAGTCACAGACAGCATATTTGTATTTGGAACGTTTGGTCAAAGCCTCATCAGCTCTTAAGGCTGAGAATGTCACACGGAGAACTCAGTATTGCTCGCCTCATCGTTCTTTCACTTTGCGTATCTCTCTCTCTCTCTCCAACGACACTCATAACTCTAGTATGACAAATCAGGAACAGAAGGACTTGTGACAGCCTGAAGTCCACCCGGAAATCCTCGGCGGTGTTCCGTCTCACACACTGACAGCTGTGTGATGAAACATGATGGAGACAGTTCCTTGTTCCCCTTTTTTTGAGTAAAAGGACTTTTTTTAAGCACATTGACATCCTTTGTGTGTAAACTACAGCTCACTTCAAAGTGCACTATAATACGTGTATCTCTTTGGAAGATGTATAAATACAAAGCAACTTATTCTTGTTGCGCTTCTTGATTTGCATTTAAGCCCAGTTGATGACAAACTGGTTAAATCAAAAGCACTTCAAGATGAAATATAAAGTGAATGTTTCATTAAAGATTCATCGATAAAAGCCAACCGCATCGTCAAAGAGATCTTGCATGAATTAACCCCAAATAACTGACAATATAACTAACTAACAACACTTCCTCTGTTGCAGGTTAACTGTTTCCTCTTCATGCAATATTGATACACACCCCAGCATGGCACCACCACATTTACTTCAAGTTGTGAGAATCACTGCAGCTGACCTATGACCCGTGACACCAGACACAGAATGATGGTGACGGTGACAAAGGTCCAGTTCCAGGAGTGATTTCCGTCCACCGTGGCCACACCCAGAAAGATGAAGATTAGTGTCTCGCTGACGCTGCTCCACATTTTCAGGAAGTACTTGATGGTGGTGTGGGACTTGTGGGATATGTTGGCCTCCACATAGGGCCGCATCACCGCTCCGCAAGATATTAACCTGGAAGGAGAAGAGGCAGCAGTTTGTCAAATGAGATACATATATATATGCACCATTACGAAACATATTTTCATAGATTCCATGTTTCCAAATTTGTGGTAAATGCTGGATGTCATCGAAAATTAAACACACAATGAAGCAAAGCACAAATAATAAATGTTAGAAATGTTAAAGGAAACCCTAACTTAAGGAGAAGGGGTGGTTTTACGTGAGTCATGAGCAACAGAGTTCCAAACAGATTTTGTAAACATGTGACACCAACAAAGATGTCTCCCTCCCTGTATGGTGGTCACTTCCCTATTCCATTCTGGTTTGAAGCAATGTTTCTATGTCAAAGGCCATGAAGGCCAGAAATGAACGCCAACCATGTCCCATAAGCCTCAGCGGCTACTCAACATTCACCCTCATTCCACCTCCTCCTCCATGTAAACGTTGGTTTGGTTCTCAAGGCTTTAGGGAACGATGAAAGGAATCCACACAGGGAGCGTTTCGCCTTTTCATTATGAACCGAGGAGCAAGGAGACAGCCAGAGGATTTGAAAGAGATTGTCCTTGAAGCTACGCATCCTTCGGCCCCGCGACTCAGTACATCATCCCCTCCTGTCTGCAACATCAATAACACCCAGCACCTCAAACAGGAAATAGATTGAAAAATACCTGAGGAGCAGATGAGAAACGGCACCTCAGGGAATGTTGGGATGCCAATAAATTAAGGCTTGGTTTAGGAGACGTTGGATCAGATCAATTCATGATACTGCTGGTTATACGGAGCACAATCTGCCAAGACGTACAGTTGAGATACTGTCAGGGCAATGACTGAAATAGGTTTACCCTGCAGTGGCAAGGTTGTACATCGACCATGACATCTCATCACTGAGGGAAGATCCACATAATACAAACATGTGACGCAAGAGGGACGTCCCTGACACAGCTGGAGTATTTCACAGATTCCAGAGAGCGTACATGACACACTGGATACTGAATTTGTAAATGCAGAACCTGTATGAAGCAGCTCACACACTAGACGGAGGCGCCAGAACTGTCAGTCTTAAGGATTCTAGGACGAACCATGCTGACAATCCATGGTCTCGCTGTTCTAACAGGCTTTAAAAGACGTCTACTGAAAGCATGCGCTACATATACAAAAGAGAGTAATTAGGATTTGTCCAATTTTTTAAAGAAAATTGGTAAAAACAGAAAATGATTAACATTAAAAGTTAAAATGACGCTCGAGTTGTACAGAAATCAAACATTGAATTTATACAGTACATTCTGAAAATGTGTAAATCTATATGACTTACGCCATGATGCCAGAGAGGTGGAACATCTCAGCTGACAGGTAGGCCATGTAGCTGTACACAAAGACAAACAGTGGCTCTATGACACGCGTGTGGGAGGTGAAGCGTGAGGTGAAGGCGGTCAGGAACCCATAGATAGCTCCCACTAGAACGCCCCCCAACGAGACCACCAGGAAGGAGACGACTCCAAGGAAACAGTCCAATAGCGTCACGGTGCCGGCACCCGTGTACTCCTCAAACAGGTGGTATAACACCTAGGAGAAAAGGAGTATGATACATAATATTAGAAAGAAAGGATGATAAAAAAGTTAAGTGTATCTTATACAGCTGTATTGATTCTAAAATCCCAAAACAAAGGTAAAAGATAATAGATTGGTTATTTATTTTTATTACATCTTCAGGTTCTTACTTACTGAATATGTAGAAACTGAGCACATCCTATAACTGCTTTGCAAGGGAAAACACAACCGCTAATTTTCTTCTTGTGCCAAATTAATTGAAAAATACTTTATATTCTGTACCAAGCATTTAGTAAGCATCTCACTATGTAACACAGCATTCACTTACACAAGTGTTGCGATAGCGGATGTCAAAAACACAGGTCGTTGAAGCTAAAGTTGGTTCCTTGGATAGCTATGATGCTGAAGTAACTTTATACTGAGGATGGTGCTGTTGCTGATGCGCTGTTAGCTGGGGATTATCGGGTAGTGACAGGGTAGCCGACAGACCACGATCTGTGTGTTGACAGGTTAAGTCCAACTGTGTGGTTTTACAAATTAATACATTTAACACACAACCTGATCTGGTGATAACACCCAGGGACTTTTTAGCTGCTTCCCAGACTGCTGAGCTAAACAACACTTTTAATTTACAAATGACTTGATGATGCTCTTCATAAGGAGACAATGTTAATGTTTCTCTGGTCACCGGTTTACATCTCGGCATATGTATGTGTAACAATAAAGCAAATAGAAGCACGAAAGTCTCCTAGCAGCACACATTTCCTTTTTTTGGTCACTCACCACAGTGACGGCGTCGTTGAGCAGTGATTCACCGAACACCAGGATGTGCAACAGTTCGTTGATGTGGATCTCCTCAAACACGGCGAGCACAGCGACGGGATCCACAGCGGAGATGATGGAGCCGAACAGCAGACAGGGCAGGAGCTCTATCGAGTTGAGGACGGACGGATTGCCAGGCTGGATCTGGCACACGGCGTACAGCACACCTCCGACGAAGAAGGCGTTCCACAAGGTCCCCACGACGGCGAACATCAGGATGGTGCCCAGGTTCTCCATGAAGGGACGGATGGGCAGGAAGTAGCCGGCATCCAGGATGATGGGCGGCAGCAGGCAGAGGAAGAACGAGTTGGAGTCCAGCACTGGGGGGACCTCTTCTCCGGCTAGTTTGATGAGCCCCCCCACGATCAGACCCACCACGATCAGCAGGCAGCTCTCCGGCACAATACCGGACAGACGAGGAATCAGGTGGAACCCTGGGGACGTGGATGGACATGCAGTGGCATGGAGGAAGACAAAGAACAGGAAGGAGGGAGTGATTTACCGGGAAATTGGAATTGTTCACAAGAAGTTTTAAGAACCGAATACACAACTTTACTAGAGCAATCAGCTGTGACATACCACACCTCATACCAGTACTAGCACCATCCTGGCAACAGATTCTACCTTCTGTCGAACTCTCAGGTAAGAAAGAGCTGTTCTTAGGAAATACAGAGGAAACACACTTCTACTTCTAGTGTAGGCTGTGACGACACATCAAGGCTTTCCTGCACGCCTTTGCTTATTTCGACTACTACCTATCTGTAACAGAAAACTGTTAAAGAACTTATGTTCTCACCATGTGATTGACATAAAAATACATTGGTGTCTCCAGTCTTGAAGGTGTATAGTTTAGGAAAAGAACATGAGAAGTGTACTGTATGCTGCGGAGATACTGGTGAGACACACAGCCAACACAAAGGCCTTGGGGAACTCTTAAAAAGGAAAAAAATGGAAATAATATGCAAAACATTAATTGTCAAAAGATGTCACATGACAAGTCAGCAAGTCATTGGCTGCCAAGAGACCACATTCAGGAGATGATGAGACTAGTAAAAACGTGCTGCCAGTGACACAAAAGGAGAATCTTTCAACTTCTATTTGTCTTCTTGTTTACATACTAATCCAGTTTTGGAGGAGTCCCACGTAAATGAAATAACCTTCTGCAATGATGTGCTATTGCTTGAGGCCGCTTGGCTCACATGTCACAGCACAAGCAGCTCTGTGTGGAAACCCGAGACATTGTTAATGTGGATGTCTTTACAAGCAATAAGACAAAAGCTGTTTGACTTTAAATAAGCTGGCCCAACACGGGTAACTAGTTAGCCGATACGGGACCAAATGTACCGTCACCCCTGAGCTGCCGTGACGTCTCACATGAAACTATAATCACAGACAAGGCTACATACACAGTGAGGTGACGGGACAACTGCAGCCTGCGCTTAAATAGTAAACAAAAGAAGCTGAAGACTTCAAAGAGAGAGCCTGCATCGCATAGTGAGAAGTTCTTCCCCAGCTATATTTACTGTACACTACAGCAGCACACGGACATGAGACATTCCAGCTGGCAATGTATCAGTAAACCGCATGCTGCATTAACACGGACACACAAACAGAGAAATAAAGCTACATGCTCACAGACAGGCTAAACAATCTTATGCAAAGAATTAAATAGATATGAAACGTATGCTAGAAGCTCACGTGAGCATTACATGCTCCAAAAGGATGAAATGCCCTCAGGAATGACACAATAAGACCTGTAGTTTGTAAGTACGTCTATATTAGAGACAGAAACAGAGGGATTGACGTGTTAATTGAGCCATGTCAGCAAGTTGTTCCTCACATCCGCCCGAAGCTGCAGCCGTTCGTGGATGAACAGAATTTGAACCCATTGGGTGTTGGGATCAAAGCACACACGTTAAACTATCAATAAGCACCACAGCTACATAGTACAACAGTGGAGGGGGCAGTGACAGCAGCACCATCTGGCACAGCAGCCACAGGGCATGTTCCCTCCTGTTTGCTTACATATGTAGAATGCGGATGGTGGAGCAGCTGATGAACGTACTATCATATTGCATTGTTATGCAATAGGCAGGCGGCAACCTCTGTGTGTGAGAAGTGAAGCCAATGCGGACGTGCCTTAGAAGAAACTTGCATTCTTTCTAATAGCCAGCAGGGTTATCCTCTGGTTGCAAAAAGACGTCCACTCGTATAGAAGTATATACTTGATTTGTTACCTCAGTAAACATTGTGAACATGAGTTTACAGTCTCAATCGCTAGTATCAAGTCCTCTTCAATACAGCATGATGCTCATTTAGTAAATTATGGTCTCGTTTAGAGTGAAATAGATAAAGCGGGGTATGCTTTAGGGGGTGGCTACCTTGTGATCGACAGGTCGCTACGACGGTGTTGTTCGATCTGGGAGTTTTACGTGTTTTTCGTCTTACAACTTTAGCCCTTTCACAGTGTGTTTTCAGTTCATTGTAACTTTTTTTGGTTGCTTAAAACTGTCTTATTCAGCATTCAGTTGTACTTAGCTCCACCCTCTCGTGTCACACCTGGTAGCGTCAGAAATTCTCTGTAATAATACAAGGCATCTGAGGTAGGGGGAGGGGCGTTCATACTTGAAGACAACATTATTACTGTTTCGGCATGCAAGCTCAACAAGTGCATGCCTGTGGATTGTGCAGCTGCATCCAGCTGTAACTCTGGAGCTTTGAGGAAAGATAGTGAGGGAGTCTTTGTCTTTAAGTCTAAGGAGACCTCATTTCCCCCACAGCGAGACGCCAGAGACTGAGTGCTCATCTCTTTTCGATGCACTGAAATGGAAAACTGAAAACCGCCCACAACTCCACAGAGGCTTCGCAGCCAGGTGGGTTAACAAAGATGTTCTGTGAAAACGGCTTGAAGCACAGTAAACAGAAATCTTACGTGGATCCCCTCTGAAGGCTTATGTGGCGAGCAGGATGTAAATTCCACAGCTAGTTCCGAGACCATCGACGGCACAATGTCTCTTCAGAAGAAAGCATCAACCTGCTGACTGGAGGCTTCAAAACGAAAGCTCAATTAGCACCATTAAATTAGCACATTATAGTTCACAACATCTCGTCTCCCTATGGACACCGCTACATGATTAATAAGCTGTGTCTAAGTGTCTGAGACTCCAACACCGCAGAGGTCTCCGTTCAGTGTGGGGGACACCAGATCTCATAAGTGGGCCTGCACAGCTCCAGTCAGCTAATTGGTTCCCGGTTGACCAGAACAGATTACAGTGACAGGCCTTCCACAGAATGTATGCTCATGTTTTACATAATTCTGCAGGTATTTGCTTTATTACATATGGATGTAAAGAATTGCAAAGGATTCAGAGATTCCCCTCTTAGTAATTTAAATGTAGCAACACCTCATGTATGCGCATGAGATATGCTGAACCTTATGCATTTAGCATTATCTTTAATGGAAGACAAGCACGTTCACCTGTTGCAACCTGATGGGGCAGCAGACGTCAATGCTTACAACAAGGTGTTATGAGATCGCAAACAAAGAGCATTTACTTCTACTAGCCGGGCCTTCTGCTCTACATTTCTCAGAACACATATTGCTTATGTTTGCAAATGGTTGCACTGCTGTTCACAGGGAAAATAAACATCCTCTGTAAACAGCTGGATAAAAGTTAGAGCCACGACTGAAAGAAACTGAAGTCCAGGAAGACAGCAACTTACCAATATTATCTAAGAAATGATAAGGCGGCAAACTCCGGGTCCAATGCAGAAGTACCTTAAACTCCCATTCTTTCTAATAGTCAGCAGTGTGCTGTAGTTGCAAGGAGAAGTCAGATTGTATTGAAGTCTATGAGAACATGTCCCTACTTCTAACTTGATTTATGACCTCAGTAAACATTGGAGACATTAGTTTATGGTCTAAACCGCTAGTCTATGAAACCTCATGGTGTATTTTAATCCTCATAATTGAGTTCTAATATGGTACAACATGTGGTTTACAACTTAGGATATTTGACTATAAACACAGGCTATTTTTCCAGAGTCCCATGATTCCTTGTGTTAAGTGACCTTCTAAATGACATTAAGTAATGGACCTCAGCCAGAGTACTTTTAGCTCCCAGCTTTCACTCCCTGAGTCATGAGCCATGAATAGGCCACACCAAACTGGAATTTTAAGTTGAATCAGGCAATTAAAGATAACCGGTATATAAAGCCTGTGATCATCTTTTAAAAAAATGGTACCAACACACCATCTTAAGTTCTGTTGGGGTGTTTCTGCCAAGGGTTCCATTCAAATTGTACTACGCATCATCATCCATATCGAAGCAATGCCTCACAAGTCTCATATTTCAAAATAAGATTAATCCTAAATCAGTCACAACTGATTAATCCTAAATCAGTCTCACCTCAGCAAAAGCTGTGGAATAAAACCCAGCAGCTCACAGAGGAACATCTTTTCACTCTCAAGGGTAGAAAATACCCGACCTGATTGAATGGCCGTGGCCTGCAGTGAAATCCATTTACACAAATCCTTTAATCAAAAGAAGGGCAGTGAAGTCCTCGAGGGAAGAGCAAACAGGTCGTGACTGGATGGACTTAAACGTATTAATGCAGCCAACACTGGATCCCAGAAGGACCCATTCTAAATGAACCATTATCATTCATGGGTGACCAGGAGGGACACGTGAAGACAACCAGGAAGAGAATGAGACAAAAAGCCCTTTCGGCTTCAATGCTGATCCTTCTAAATACCATCAACACATACAGGACCCAGGACAAAAGGCTCAGCGGAGCAGGACCCAAATGTCCAAGTGGTGACAGTTCACACAGTCTTAAATGTCTCCAGCGTGAGTCCAATTATGGCCTTCAGTGCTCATCAGTGAAGAGCCATGCCGCAGGAGATAAGATAAGTGAAAACAAGGGCTTATGAACTTCAAAGAACTGGTAAGGGGACTCAAAGATTTTTATGCCAGAGTCTTAAGATAACTACAAGATCAGACGGTTCACTGGCTTCTTGTCAATAATGGCAGCCGCTGTGTCCTTGCTCCACTAACCCCCCCCTGAGAGTGCCTTTATGCAGCAACGTTATTGAAAACCAGTAAAGGGTAACAGCCCTCTCATTTCTGCATGTGTACCCAGTGTCAGCAGAGCCAGGTACTCGCTACACAGGACCATTCCCAAAGCCAGGAACTGTGTCCTGTTGCCAGGTGACTAATTGTACACTGCCCGCAAACCAAATCTGCTGGACTAAGCAAGCACAAAAGAGAGAAAACATTTAAACAGTTGCTTTGTTGAAGGAGGTGATTGATGATACGTTTGATTCTTTTTCCTAGAAATCGAGATGTTGGACCGGCTGGCCGGCGTTCCAACACCGTGATGCGTAGATCACAGGAAGGTCATGATGCACATTTATTTCAGAGTACAAACTAAGCTTTCGTGAGTCATGGTTTGATTGTTTGATGCAGATCATTGTGCTCCTCGAGTTGCTTGTGCAAGACCAGTGTTGGTTTAAATTATTAATAAGGGCCTGCTGCTGCTGGTGTATTTCAATATGATCCCTGATGCCATATCTGCACAACAATACCGGCTCACATGGGTGAGTCCTCTCGTGGTGATGATTCTGAGCAACAGAAAGGTTTGATGGTCCTTACTATATTCACAAGCACATCTTAATCTACAACTACTGAATGGAGTAGAATTCAGTAACGGTGTCAAATGTCGGTTACAGGCAATACTGTACAAAGGTCTCCTCGTGATGATGTTTAGTTAGCCTGGTGTAGAAACATTTAAAGATTTTGCATTAGAGGGAAACAAAAGTAAAAACACTGTACTCCCAGTAGATCCACCTTTATAAGGTTGTCTTGAGACCGACGGGAAATAGTCTTGTTTCATGGGAACGACAGTATTTCAGATAAGACCGTTATTTCTACGATGCTAAAGAGACCGAGCCAGCGGCCTGCCAATGAAACAGATAACTGTGTGTCAACTGCAACCACTAATTGCTCGAACGTCCTTCACCTATGACACCTAAAATGATGATTACCATTTGCAAACCGGTGACGCATGCACAGAATAGAGAAGCATTAAACCAAATCAATATTCATTATTGCTTTAGAAGCTAGTTACCTAAATTACATTAAGTATATATTGATTTAAGTGTAGGGCAAAGACATCTATTTCTAAGATTAAGGGCATGTACTTTTGTTCTTTCTTTAAGAAAACGTCTGTGCGAAGCCACAACCTAAATAACACATTGAAGATAAGATGTGTAGAGCTCGTGACACATTTACTCCAGCTTTACCAAGGGTGTGGTTTTTAATGGTGTACCTGGAATCTTTCCCACGCCGGCTTTATTGATAAGGACAATATTATGGCCCTCATCTCTAAATGGGTTTGCCAAATGCTGTAATGTAGGACTCCACAACAACAAATGTAAGCATGTTGGTTGATTCTAGTGCACTGCTTCAAATTCATCAACAAAATGTTGATGAATTACATAGTAACTGTAGCAGGAGGGACTAGGAGGGACACATATTGTCACAGGGGGTTTATTGGTCAACCCAGTGGTTCTGATAATGTCTCTCTCCTTCTTTATCATCAACTGTTTACTATAGATAATGCAATCCTTTAAGGAACGGGCAGGTCTCTTAGTGAACCATTTACTCGACACATACAAGCTAAACAATGGCAGCATTCATGGAACAGAGTTAATCAAGAGATTGTGGGTCTTAGAAGACTAAACCTCTGTGCAGTTTAAAACAACAAAAAAATAGATTAACGATCAGAGAGTCGTTTCTGGTAATTACAAGACAAAAACAACCTGCAGGTTTGCAGCTCCTCAACGATTATTAAAACAAGTGACAAAATCTGGCAGTGTTTTTTCGCCCCCACACACAAAAATCCAGATATTGAAAAAAATAAGAAATGAAGTCACAGGAAAGAGAAAAACAAACAACAAAAGGAAAAAAGAATTCTAACATAATTCAGAAAAATACAACAAGAAGCACACAAGATGGGCAGAAGAACTAACTAATAAGTATAGTATAGTGTCCAATAAAAACAAATAAATATATGAAAAACAGCAGTGTTCAACGCTGATGGATAATCACTCTCTGTCTTCTGAATTGAATATGTGCAATATCTTACTAAATAACATTGACGATGGACACTCAGTTTTACTCCTAAACCTGGAGTGAGGGTATTCTTTTGCATTTCTCCTCATGTCACTTCCTACTGTCTAAATAAATGGAATATCTTGTGACTTCTTAGGTACTTCTACTTAATATATGTGCTTGAATAGATTCCACTTTTAGACAAATGCAGTAAGTATAGCATACACAGTATTTGTCATTTTTGTGCTTGGCCTATAATTACAACTGATAATAATAAACAAAGCTTGCATTGATAACAAGCAGTTCAATCCTTTATTTGCACCGCTAAAACATTCTCAACAACCACGGTGATAAAACTGCTGAGAACGTGCTCATGACAATAAATCACTGCATAAGCATAGAATCGTCTGGCTGGTATTGTATCGTTTATCTGATGCAACACTCTCCATAAAAGTTGCTAGCAATTAAATTCGTATTGAGCAGATTCACAACAGAGCATCACAAATTAAATAGATAATACTTTTCATTTCACTTTGGCTATTTAGCCGATGCTCACTCTCTTTTGCCCCACTCCTCCTACTCATAGGAATGAAGGTTCAGGTAGCAGGTCCAACTTCTACTACAAGAAACAAACATTTACTCAGAAACTGTGTGTGTGTGTGAGGCTGTGTGAGGCTTTCCTGGCACGCCACACTGAAGTAACACACACCCTCTCTTCAAAGTGTTTGACCAGTTTTGAATTGTAAATGGCAGGCGAGACTAACGGGACTTGTAAGACATGTTATGCGGAGCTTCGCTTAAATGACGGGGCAACACTGGAACAAAGCAACTTCACAGCAACAAGAGGTAATTACCACAGAGGTGTGTCCAACATTCATGTTTTACTCGTGTGAACACTATCAGATCTGACCAAACCGAAAGGTCAATATGAAAGTCGGGAACCCGGTGGACGTTTGATGAGGCTATGAACTATAAAAGCATTACATTCTGCCACACTGTACTATGTAAGGCTTGTTTATGAGTTTCTTTTTACCGATTACTTTCACAAAATTACATTGGGACAAGGTCATTGAGATAATGGCTGAGCTTGTTCGCATTAATTCATCCTGGTTATACCCGAGCAGACCTTTCAAACACAACCCTCTCCTAAACACAGAGGATCACCTTATGAGGACTGTGTAGCAGGTTTTTCAGTGCTAATTACAGCCTCTTAGTCAAAGGCTGATAAAGCATTGTTATTTATGAGTGGTACTAGTCTGTAGGCTAATTATACAGGAGCCCAAACAGAAGATGTCTCATAAATATAAGGACCTTGCCACTGTCAGGGCGTATTCCCTTCTAAAGAACATCCCCTGGGTTTTGATTTATATGAAAAGCTTCTGCACCGGGTTTAATCAAATTCATACAAGTATTCAGAAATAAGGACAGAAAGGCACCAGGCACAGTGACAGGGCTGCTAAAGCGATATATGGAGTGTGTGGGTGTGCTTTTAGGCTTGTAAGATATGTACCAGACACTGTGCCAAGGCTGAGCAATGTATAGCAGCCACTCTGAATTACCCACTGCCCATTTTCAGTCATCCTGGGATAATCAGAGGCTTAAGGTCACTGCTGTCAGCGCACACACTCGTCCCGTCTCGCTCCCTCTTTCTCAGTATCCAAATCTCTCGTTTTCCCTCCATGCCCTTGAGCTGCGCCCGAACAGAGAGCCACCCGAGCCAGGACGGTCCCGCTCTGCCTGTCCCCACCTCCCGGGAGACACCGGGCTCCTCGCCCAGACAGTGAGGCGGTATATCCTCCCCTGGCTACCGGCTGGTGCTCAGTCAGGCCCCTGATGTCACCGGCAACTGACAAGCTGCTGGCTCTCGGACAAAGATAGCCAGGGGGACAATGCAGCGTTTTGTGGAAAGCACAATGCGAGGAGGTATTGTTGACAGTATAGAAAGAAAGATTAAAGAAATAAGAGCAACAAGAGTGGCAACAAACAGTGAGGAAACACTGAAGCAACAGAGGAAAGTGAAGAGCTGGACAGAAGTCTCTCAGTGTGTATCCGAGCTGGGAACAATCGTGACAATTCTCTTTTGAGACATCCTTTATGACAATGCCTCGGGGCTTCTGGCTCACAATAGCGTAGCAGGAACTTCCACTGTCTTGAAAAAAATGTGCTAAATAGTTGCTGTCCAACGTCCAGACCGCTGCACCAAGGTGCTTAGTCATCACTGTATCAAGGAGTAAGGACAGCACAAGCAAAGAGACTCTCCCCACACGAGGCTGACGGATCTGAAGAGTAATCTGCGTCACCAGCAGTATAGATTCGCCCAACGAGTCTCCAACTAAATTGCGCTATTCTGGTCCGACTTGCTGTGTCAGCATACCAGTGTCACGCAGAATGCAGGGCCAGACATTATCTTATAACTGTAAAGTGACAGGTTTGCGCTTTCTGTCAAACACTGCAAGCCCATTAAAAGATGTGTTGTGACATGTAACGTTAACATGTGCGATTTATAGATATCTGCTGGATTTATCTGAACAGTCTTCTCTTGATTTTGATTTAAATACCTTTCTGATAAAAAAAAAAAACAGACTCTACCTTAATTTGATATGCAGGCATATTGTGCACAACTAGCTGCAAATGTGCCAACTTACCCGCAATGACTACTACACCTTTGGCCAACCCCGATAACCTAGCCCTGAGCCTGAGCTAGCGTTTCCTGGATAAGATGCACTTAAACCGCACTACAGGCAACATTCACACGATACTCACCTAGTTTCATCAACGAGGCCAGCAGCACCCATAGCGAGATTTCAAAGGGAGTGGATACGTGATGGTAGTCGAGGCTGAGCACAGGGAAAGCCTTTTTAGTATAGTTATAGCTTTGCACCGCCACTTTGTGGTTGTCCACATTTCCCGGTTGGTTGGTATTCGGGGAGCTGGCCGCTCCGAGGGGAAGCAACACCAAAACAACCAGCAGGAGCAGCCCCCGCTCCGGTAGACTCTTCCCCATACCGGGAAGAGTGTGTGAACCTGTCCTCGAAGGCATGGTGTCGAAGAAACGACACACACACAAAAAAAAAAGGAGAAATGAGACACTAAAAGTCAGCTTGTAAGCCAAGCGAGTTCGAGGAAGTTGAATACAACTTTGTAATGTTACGTTAGCGTTAGTTAGCCCGCTTCACCGACAGCCAGGTAAACAGTCCCGGCGACGCAGGCCGTTGAGAGAAAGCAGGAAACGCCAAGATGCTTGAAAGAGTTATTGGACAGACAACTGTGCTGTTTTTACAACGTTGTTTCACACGTTCCAGTGTCAGTGACTTTACAACGTTGTTTCACACGTTCCAGTGTCAGTGACTTATCAATGTCCTCCTTGGAGACAGATGTCGTTGATGCTGGAGGCAAGCGAGAGACAGCGGCATCCCATCCACGCCTCCTCTTCTTCTTCTTCTTCTTCTTCCCTCCGACTGCCCGAGAAGAAACGCGTCCGTGAGGCGGCGGCGGTGCTCGGATACTGACCTTGAAGAGAAGAAGCCACACTGCTGCCACATTGCATTTTGCCCGTGCGCACCTATGTCTCTTTCAACTTTTTGATATCAATGTCCGCGTAATAGCGTCCGGCTTTTCCACCCGTGTTCCCCAGGATGACAAGGACCTTGGTCGGGGGCTCAGCCCAGAGGGAGGATAAGGGAGAGCGGGGGAAGACTTGGGGTGTGCTCCGCCTCTGCTACAGAGGCTCGTCCCGGGTTGATGTGAAGGCAGGAGGCGAGTGCTCCTGTCTGCGGTGGTGTTTAGCTCCATACAACCTTCAAAACGCACACCCTTTCGCGGAGGATTGGAGTGGAAGGGGGAGGGAGGAGGGAGGAGGGGGGACGGCCGACTATAGTGACACCTATAGGAATGGAGGTTTAAGGTGTCTGGTGAGGAAGACAAATAATAGCATCTCCATAACTGCTGAAACTATTTCCTCCGTTTTAGGCGGCACATCTGTTCCTTTGTCAATGTCAGTAGTCTGATACTGTTTTAATCTCATGTGGATGCTGCTTGTTAGCTTTCACAGGGATGTCAGAGGTCAGGGTCAATTATAGCCCACAGCCCAGAGAGCATAGTCGTTTTTACCACACTGAAAACCTGAATACATACTGTAGATGCTCGCTTTAACATTGTCCCCTTACAACCATTAGTGTGACTGCTCTGCTGAAAAGGTTAACACGGTTGTCAGATGTTAGAAATTATAGATATGTTGCCTGCGGACACCAAATCGCTCCATGATCTGAATACTTATTAAGCATGATGTGACCAAGCATTACAAGCAGTGATATTCAAAAATGTCTTGTCAGAGGAGTGAGGGTGCATACATTTGCAGAAATTGACTTGGAATATATAAATGGCGATACATTTCCTTTAATGACATTATGTTTGCCTATAGGGCCCTGAGAGCAGGTTCAATATATTGCTCAAAGACACTTAAGTAGACCACACGGAAGCTATATTGAACCAATATATTTAAGGATAGTCATACTAACCAGATTACTGTCTTCTGTTTTTTGTTCCTGGTGTGTAGCTGTGGGTGTGGCCTTGGAAACTATGACTCAACTAGTGAATACTAGTGAATCTCCAATCACACCTTTCAGATTTAGTAACACGTGATTCCCCTTATTACAAAATCATTGAAGTGACACCAGGCTTATCAAACCAGCACAAATTCTTTATTTGGACATTTTATTGAGAAAATGTATAGCAGATTAATTGGTAATGAAGATAGCTAATTCTGATTTTTATGAATCCAAACAACCCATTTGTCTCTAGTGTGATCTAACATGAAATTACAGTAATAACTGTTGAGAAGTGTTTTGCACTTATGTATTCTGCCCCAACAATTAGGACCACGAAGAGACACATTGATTATAGTTTTGTGCTCAAATAGCAGCTTTCTGGACTTTTAGAGAAGAGACTGGCCAGTGAAGGCAAAACTATAAAGTCACTAATTGCTCTGAGGCAAAACTTCTGAGCACATATGAATTAGGTCATGTCTAGTCTCTCACAATGATCTTGAGGGGAGACATTAATAAGGTATGGTCGGTGTTGATAACAGTGTCCTGCACACCACACATACATTTAAAACACCGTCATAGAGTTCAGGCGACAAACTGTCTGTGCTGTTTTTCTGTCTCTATCTATGTCTTTATCACTCTTTATGGCTGAAAGGTTGTTTTATGTTTTACAGCCTCTTATAATCTGTTGGGGCCTAATAGTTACCGCCACAGTAAGATAAGGCATCGTCATCACAGAAAGACCGCTGATCTGTAGTCACCACTATCTCCTGTGGTGGATGCAGACAGACACGGTCCTCCTCTGATAGACAAGTCCTGTTTCATTTGACATATTAAATGTATGTAATATACTGGTATTCCCATTAGTATACAAGAACATGACATACTTTATGGTTTTATATAATAACAACAGGAAATAATGCAAGATATCTTAAGCGGTCAAGCTGCAACTTCACTGAAAATTAAACACTAAAAGAAAGAAAGTATTCCCCCTAATGATTAAATACCTGTGATTTTCTCAGGTCTTCTTAGATTCAGATTCAGGGTCCTGGTATTGTGGATTCTGGCTGCCACCAGCCGCTTCTTTTTATGTGACTTAATCTTTTCATTTCACTTTTGACTGACCGCTGTGTTAAAGTGTCTTTGACCTTTGGTTCTCGTTCCTGTGTACTCAGCAAATGAAACCCGAATATACACTTCAACACTTCCTGCTAGGTTATAGCCATTTTGCTGACCCACAGGAAGAAGGTGAGGGGAGCTGAGCCTGCTGAACTGGTGGCTATATGCATGGTTATAGTTAGAGCATGCCTCCTCAGGGTTCAGTGCATGTCCTTCTATCGATTCATCACGCCTTCACATCTGCACGATCAGCAGTACTCTTTATTTGTACTTGTACATGTCATTTGTAAGACGGGGGGAATGTTGGTTATTATGATCCTTATCAGGATATCTCTCTCGTTTATTATGCTGTTGTGTTTGTTCTAGCGTGTGTTTATTGTGCTTTTTCATAAAAATGAATGTCGAAAGTCTGTTCTATTCTCTCACACGAGCATGCAGAACATCTATTTCTGCTTCCTCTTCAGTCGATTTAGAAGCCGGCTTACTGCTGATCTTGTCGCTATCACACCAGTAACTTTGCAACAGAACATTTAAACCATACCAAGCATGACTTTACTTAACAGTTTGTCGATGAACCCCACAGGTAACCTCAGTAAAGTCCATGTTGGAACACATACATGCACAACTTACCCACCCTCCTTCAGCTCTGTTGTTGTGAAGTTGTGATGCCAAGAGCTTCGCTGCAATAACCCAGATTTGTACAACATGATTCCAAACATCCCCAAAACCTTTGGAGAAAATAATAGGAGGCATGGTGCTGTGGTTAGTGGATACAGGGAAACTACTCGGGAGAACAGAACTGAACACACGCCTGGCCGAGACTACTTATAGCAAAATAGAATACGTGCTTCAAGGCCACATGGAGTTCAATGCTGTAGTCAACTCTGCACCCTACAGCTGAAGCCAGAAATTCAGATTTGATCAAAGATGAATTGTACTCTACTAAAAAATCCTCGGCCTTGTAGAAAATGGAGTTGCGTGTTGAAAGCCTGCTATCCATCCGAGATCACGCAAACATATTTTTATTGAACCCTAGTGCCCAAGCCTGCAGTCCAAGGCTTATTTGTTTTTGTTTTGGGAGGCGTTCTTTCGTATTCCTGAAGCTAAAGAAAGTCTAGTCTCAGTGATAGAAGTCTGAACTGTGCAATTACAAAATTTCAGATCACAAAACTCCACCAGCTCACCCTGACCCCAAAACGGGTCGTATATACACTTTGAAGTTTCTATTTTCTGCCTTTATCTTCATGGAGTTAGTCACTGTGTCTTCTGCCACAAACCATGCACTGTGGAACAAAACAAGTCAATTATTGCCAGGCAGCATTAAAAAGGAAAAACAAAAAAAAAGCTGGCTGTAATTTTTACTATTTCCACTGGATTATAAAACAAGGCAAATAACGAGCTTTGCGTTTTTCTTTGTCGTGATGTTTGTTTCATTTTGAAAAAGTGACTCTAATATTAACCCCCTGTAGAGTGTGCAGAATCCCATTTATTCAGATAAACACGACATGAACAGGTAATATCAGACTAAATGGGACCTTAAATCCTGCTTTACATACACATGCTGATTACCAAAGGTCAGATTAAATGAATAAATCATACACCAAATTTACAGTTTATGTGTAAACTGCTTTTTCATTCCCCTGCTCAGAATGACTTGTCCCTGGCTGCGTGTATCAGCTTAACATTAGAGGCTGGCTGCAGGATCCCGTGCTGTCAGCTCCTGGCGGATGATGACCCAGCAGGAATCTGGGATGAAACTTGTGAAAAAAAAATCAGATGGTGACATGAGGCCACCTAAGCTCTGTAAATGATGACGAGCTCTGACAGCATGTCTGTTAGCAGGGACCGATGCAAAATATTTTGACGGTTTTAAACGCACTCTGAGCTCCCTCTGTTACAGGTGGTTATTTAAGGATTCGCTGGGCAAACAGTCACTTCTGACTTAGCATCTGAATAATGTCCACTCTTAGAAATAAGAGTTCCACAGAGCCCTTTGCTTGTGAACAAAAAAACGATTATTTTTGCGACTATCGAGGGTTGAGCTGCACCACATCAACCTTGGCCTTTAAATGACTTAGATGAAGATCTTGGAAAACAAAAGGATCCTCAGTTGAACCTCCTGGGTGCGTTCTAGATGGAACCCATGGAATATGAAAGGGTTTTCGGTAAAATCCCTGGGTGGGTTTACATTAGCACTCTTGGAAAGTGTATACGTTCTGGATAGAACCTTCACAGAAGATTCTGAGTGGAACTTTTCTCGGGTGGTTTTAGTTGTAGCCTTTCATATTGGGCTATAGGTAGAACCCCCTGAAAAGATTCCAGGTGGAACCTTTAAAAAAACAAACTGAAGAACTCGGTTCTAGTTAGCACCTTTTGTAGTGGCCATTTGTTCGAAAAATCAAAAACAATCCGTGTTTCTCATGATTTATTTAACAAAACAAAACAAGCAAACAAACAAACGAAAGAACAAAGGAACTCCTATTGCTGCCCTTCCTGTTCTGGTAAAAAAAAACAGAGGCCCACCCCAGTGCATGCTGGTCCTGTACCTGCCTAGTCCTATATATAACTGCAGGTGGCCACAGTGTTACCCAATTCATAAACAAACAAAGCAATAAAATATAGCTATCAAAAGAAAAAGCTATCTTAATACATCAAAAAATCGAACCTAAATAAGGCAAGAATTATTAAACAATACTACCTGAATTAAATAACTAAATACTAACATCAAATAAATATCTCCAACACCTTTATTTCTAAGAATGCATCTCTCTCTCATCATATCACTGCAAACCTCTTCAACCCCCATTTCCTCTCAGCCATTGCAAATATCATTGCTCTAACCAATGTCAGATCACATCATGCTTAGTACGTACACAATAGCTCCCGCAGACCACTGGTGTCTCTAGGGTATAATTTCCATCATCTTAGGCAAAGGGATATTTTCATAATTATGGCCATGTGGTCATGGCACGCTAAGGGTCAGATCCACATAATGTCTCTGGTGTAATCTGGTGGCCGCTCAGAATCGACATGACCCGTGAAACGCACTCAGTGTAGCTGACAGCATGCTGTAGGCAATCATTATCAAATTAGCAAGAGTTGTCATTAATTAGAGCACGGAGAAATGACACGACAGGAGGAGGTCTTTTCTTCACC